TTTTTTTTTTTTTTTAAAGTCAAGCCATCTTGGAAAAATCAGAAAGCAGATGCACCCGTAATTGAACTTGGCAAGGGCAACAGAAACCTCGTTATGTGTTACAGGCACTCGCACCTCAATTAACCTGGGGGGGCCGAAGGGCTGTTGGTTGCTTCGCACAGATGTCTGGGCTAAGAGATTTAGGTGCCCTGAGACTCTCCACGAGCTAAGCACCCAGGATCCCTGCCAGGTCTGGATGCGGATTCCTTCTACAGGACTTCAGACACTCTGGTCCAGGGGGTTCCTGGTCCCAGGGTACTCCTAGGGTGAACCCCAGCTACTAGGCCCACCCTCGAGCAGACCCAGCACAGCCTGAGGCCGGCTCTTGATTCAACAGCCACGATCGGGCGCTGGATTTTACTGTCCGCCATTTACCATTCTGACCGGGAAAACAAATTTAAAACACCTGGAAATTTATGTCTCTGATGGGTCGAGTTGCACTGTTCCATTATATTAAATAATCCAGGCTGTGTGCTTCAAAGAACGCCGACCTCCCGGAGGCCGCCAGGGCGCAGGGCTTTTGTTAGCAGCTAGGCCGTGCGCGGCGGGCCTCACCTGCGCCTGCGCAGAGCCGACCTCACGGGCTGTCGGAGAGCGCCCGTCGCGACTGCGCCTGCGCCCTGCCAGCTCCAACCCTGGACCCAAAAGGCGGGCAATGGTGGGGAGGATGGCTCTTGGATCCAGCCTCTTAGTGTTTTGCTTCTTTCTGACACCTGCCTGCTCGTTTCCCCTCGCCTGAGCACACTGGGAACTTGGGCAGGTAAGACTTGTCATTTGCACAGACTTGAGTTCCAAGTTTGCGGTTTCGGTTCTCACCGGAGTGTTTTCTGGCTCTGTGACTTGAAGAAATGGTTTCCCGGGCTGTGTTAATAGGATGGCAGTGGCAGGGAGCTGTGTGCATAAGCTGTCCCACTCCCCAGCCACACACCACCCTCAGTGCACTCTAGCCCTCTGACTTACCTCTTAGACCTGGAAACTCAAGCAAGAGCTCCTAGGATGAAAATATTAATTTCCCCTCCTGTAATGAAAATATTAAGAACTCAGGAAGTCCTAAAGGTGTTTTGTCGCTTTAGATTATGGCACTGGGTTAGGCCACCAGCGGTTTGTATGGGTCACAAGTAGGCCCTAGCTTGGGTGTTGATTGTGCTCACTGGCCACAGAAATACACAACTGACCATCCTCAGGGAACTTCCCCGGCAAGAGTCAGCAGCCAGAAGGAGTTGGTAGCCAGAAGCCACTCTATTATGTTACTCTAGTTTGCAAGTTGGAGGTACCTTTCAAACCTCATATCACACAGGATAGCATCCCTGAGAGGAAGCATCCACCCGTGTAAGGTAGTCAGCAATCCCAACAATCTCAAGGAAGCCTTGGCATTTTGAACTGGTTTGCTCTGCCCACAGGCTTATGAGACAATACCTCCCTCCTCCAAATCACTGTGTAGACAGAATGGGAAAAGCCATGAGAAGCAGCAGGAGGTTCTCCGTTAGAGAGAAGAGACATGTTAATACTCTCAAGAGCATCAAATAACAGTTGTTGGGTGAAAGAAGACTTCAGAGAGTGGCTGGCCCACACCCTACCTCCAGGCAGGAAAGGTATTCCTCCTCCTGTTACCTCTGTAGTAAATATTCAAAGAAACAGCTGAGCATGTGCAGCCCACCAGGTTTGCTCTAATGAACTGGGGCTATTTCTAATTAATCAGACTCTATTCAGATGTATGCTACTTACATGCTTAGGAAGTTTTCCTTAAGTAGCAATGATAATACGTTTTCTATTACATGACTGTTTCTGACGTCCTTGCAAGGTATGGCCCCACATAATGGGCCCACATAACTCCTTGAGATGGGGGAAGGGGGGACTATAAATATCACTGTTTTTAAAATCAGGCATCTACTGTAAGATAATGCCATTGTGAAACTGTTCTGCATGCCAAGCCTCCAGTATCTTCCATGGTCACATTCCCACCACAGGTTGTTATTAAGCAATTCTTGCCCCAAGTGAAAGCAAGCTTACATCATTTGTTTGATCAGCAATTTTACTTATTTTATTTACTTGTTTATTTCATTTATTATTTTTATTTTATGTGTATGAGTGTGTTGCCTGTATGTGGGTACTGGGAATCGAACCTGAGTCCTCTACAAGAGCAGCCGGTGCTCTTAATCGCTGAGCCATCTCTCTATCCCCTACTTATTTATTTTTAAGACAAGGTTTCACGGGGTCCCTAACTGGCTTGGAACTCATTGTGTAGACCAGGCTGCCTTGAACTCACAGACTTCTGCCTGCCTCATCTCCTGAGTGCTGGAATTAAAGATATGTGCCAGTACACCTGATCAGCAATTTTCTTTTAAATAAAGGCATATATTTTACTCCCAAATATAAAGATAAAACTCATGACAAAAGATTATGTTTAAAGTGTGATCACAATTTTTTAAAGTTTATTTTTTTTAAATTTAATAACTACATGATTAGAAGAAGCATTTCATTACAGCTTTAACATATTCAGTAACACATTCCAGAGCAAGGATACATTTCTTTCAAAGGTGGCTGTAAATTTTTAGGTTCACAGTTGAATTAATACAGTCATACAATATTGAACTCATACACACCCTGTATGATCACAATTTTTAAAGCATACAGGTCATACATAGAGTAAAATAACCAAAATAAAACACATTAAAATATTAACCATGGTTATCCACAGATCATGAGACTATGGCTAGCTTTCACTGTCCTTATTTACCATTCCTTGTATTTTAAGACCTTTAAATAGCATGTGTTAATTTTGAAATTCAAAATAAGATATTTTACCAATTGAATTTTGGCTCAGCAAATCGTGCCAGAGTTAAGATTCAGCTTGGTCCCATCTGCATCACTGTGCATCTCAAAATGGCACCAATCCAGCTGGGGATGGCAATTACCAAGGGAGAGCTTGTAGTTTAGCACCCCAAGGAAAGCCCCAAATTAATGACTGTTAGCCATCACAATGGCCAATTTCTCAGGGATCACTCCAATTAGGATCTTCTCTGCAGCCTGTAACACCAGCCCTCCAACTTCAGACAAGGAGCATCTGCGGCACAGCTGGAGCAGCTGGGTTGGAAAATCAATCACTGCCCAACAACTGTGCAACTGATGGCCCATCAATCAGAAACATAAGGCGTTTGCTCCATTTATAAAACACATACATTTTCTTGCAAATCTGTAAATGCATTAAGCAGCTACAGCACCTCTAGCCCTGGAGATATGGCAGCCATCAGTCACTTTTGCCTGCAGAGAATCACAGACTAGCACCCCTGCATGGAGCACTCTCACCGCAAGAGCCTTGGAAGTCTCCTTGGTTCCCTACCCACTGGCTCTCAAATCCCCTGCCATCTACAGGGACCCTGAGTCCTCTTACAACACTGAAAGTTAGTTTTGAGGTTTTTACCTACCCTGACAACTGTCCTGCTGTCAGTCTGTGAGATGCCATCAATGCTTAGAGAATTTAAGACCCTGTAAAATGAACCTGCTTCCTTTGTCCCTTCCTTCCTTCTAAAATCCAAACATAAAGGATCACTGTCAGCTGAGACTACTGGTATATACCTGTTATCCCAGCACTCAGAAGCCGTAGTCAGAAAAATCATGATTTGGGGGGCTAGCCTGGGCACAGTGAGACCAGACCCTATTAGAAAGAGTGAACAAGAACAAGAGTGAGAGGGAAATGTGTTTTCTCTAGATCACAGTTGGGTGAAGAACAGACTTCTACATCTTAAACATCCACATATGGTTTCTGAGGTGAAGTTACTTTCTCAGGCCCACAGAAAACATTGCTTTGCACCTTCACTGAATAAATCTATGAACAAATGATTTCATGTCCATGTCTGTCCATTTGGAGAAGTACCACAGCCACCTCTGTTCCATCTCCTCCCTGGCCTCTGGAGAAGGTGGACGGGCATTGGGCTTTGGCTCTATAGAAGGATAGCCCAGCTAATATCAACCAGTGTCCCTGGTCCCTACCAAGACCATTTAGTACATTAATCTCTGAGTAATGGTGGTAATAGTCACCATATACTGATTTGTGATTTATAGGCTATCTCATTTGATTCTGATAATTCTGTGACATAAGCATTTTAATTCCTGGGAAAAAAATGAGGAAACTGAAGAGGAGCTAAAGGAAAAGAATAATAAATACTTATTAATGATATACTTTACACTATACACTTCTCAAATGTGAAATCATTTGTCCTTTATGACAGATCTGAAAAATAGAGAGGTTGTAAGACATTACAAGTTAATGGTAAGTGATAGATGAACTGGGATTTAAACTTGGGACATCTGATTACAAATCCCCAGAACTTTCCAACTGTAGTTTTTCTTCTTAATTGGCATGTAATGGTTGTACACATTTATGGAGGCCATATGACATTAAAATAGCATATGCTGATCAAATCAATGTAATTCTGGCTAAAGTTCTGAAAGTCAAAGTATGTTAGGAGAAGGTTGGCAAGACTGCTCCACAGGTAAAAGCATTTGCAGTGCAAGCCTGATGACCTGAGTTTGATCCCTAGAACCCCTGGTGGAAGGAGAGCACTACTCTCCAAGGTTGTCCTCCGACCTACACACAAACACCGTGGCATGCATATAAGTCCCCTCCCCCAATTTTTAAAAAAGTATGTTAGGGGATTACTGTTGCAGTCATGGAAGCTTTTCTGATTGGTTGGTTGACCTGAAGCTCAGTATTTCTTTGGTAGCAGAAATGAGAACTGAACCAGGAGTACCCCAAAATGACTAGGCCAAAGTTCAGACTCACTCCTTGGAATAATTCCCCATGACCCAAGCTAGCCCAACTCAGCCCCAAGTCTGGATGGAACACAGGTTTCTGGAGGTACCATTACATACATACCAAATACAACCCCAAGCCATCTGTCTGTTTTTGTCTGCTCAGCCCTGTATGCTCTGGGGGAGATTCTTCCTGAACCCCAAGATCCCACCACTGGTTTCAGGGAGGAAAGGATGAGATACCTCTACTGGTGGTTGTAGCAGCTTTTCCCTCACGGGGCAGAAGGGAGTGCTGCTGTGGGCCCAGTTCTCATTCTGAGAAACACAGTGGTGGCTTTACAAAGTCTTCAGAAAACTCCAGGCAACAGAAGCTGACTTCTAAACCACACCACACCTGGGATGAGCAATGAAATGACGGGGCAGGCTGTGTGCAGGGAGCTGGGAAGGGTTAAGGGTGTTTAGAAACAATTGTAGAGAGCGGGTATTGACATTTACATGTGCCAGGTGGAAGACCTCAGGAAGACAAAGGGGAGACTGACCTCAGGTTGCAGAGGGAAGAACAAAGCAGTAGTAGGAGGGTAGGTTCCTTTCACTGGAGGTTCCTTCAGAGTGTGGACAAGCCTTTGCCCTGGTGCAGATAGAATCATGGGACAGAGGAGCAAAGAGGAAGATCTGAAGAGCTTTAATGTCCCTTTCAGCGGTGACATTTCCGGGGCTCTGCTTCTGCATTAACCACGTGCCTCCTCTCTTCCAGCCTTCAAACCAAATACTTGCTGATGTTTTCCAGCAATCCTTGGTGGTTGCCATGAGCCAAAACATGATCCCTTTTCCTGTATCTCTATCTTCACACAGAGACTTAAAGTTGTGCTCCAGAGCTTTCCATTGACATGGTGTTCATACCTGGAGGCCTTCCTGTGCTCCAAAACACAGCAACTTTAGATAAAATATGAGAGTGTTACAAAGACAGAGCTCAATAGCTCAAAGCCAGAAAAACACCTCTAAGGACAT